TATAGTAAAAAAAAAAAAAAAAAAAAATCCTGTCTGACAAGTACTATTTTCCAAGAAGTTTACAAGCAAGATGCAAAAAAAACTCCATCTGTCTCAGTTATCCATTTAAAATTAAAAGTTCTAGTTGAGAGTTGAAGTTTTATAAAAACAGATGCTCAAAATATACAATTTCTCCTTTCATGATAGAGAATCACTTCTTGTCATGTGATTCCTGGAACCTGAGTATGACAGGAACTGCAAGTCATCCCATCTCCAGGTGCACTAAAATGCTAGTTTTACTGACGTTATACTGTGCTTTGATCATATACCAGAATATAGACTAATCAAGCCAAGTATAGCAGGAAGGCAAAAAGGTAATTTTGAAAATAAATGGAGGGATATATATATATATATATATATATATATATATATTATATATATATAATATATATATATATAAAATCATTATACACACATTCACAAGTAAACTGAATATTGGACAATAAATGCTCCTCTCCCCCTGTAATTTTGATGAAATTTATTTTCTTCTTAAAGCAATGCTAAAAAGTACCCATATTACAATGTCTCTTAGAAAAGACATTAATTAAAAACAATTTTAAACCAGGGAATAGGAGTAACAACAGAAATGGCCATCCTGGTAAAAGCAGAAAATTAAGTGTGGTGAATCCTGCTTTTCATTCAAAAAACCTGTTCTGATTACCAATACAGAATATAAAGTTATACTGCATATGAAGGACTTGAAGTTTTCATTAAACCTGTGAAAGGAGAGCAGACCACTTCACGTACTTTCATGCACAGATTCAAGCACTGGATCTCAAGAGAGCAAAGATCTCTCTCACCTGTGTAATAACTTCACATATACAAAGGTCCACACTGCATAAGGTCAAGTCACTAATGGATGATTTTCCTTTAAATATGTACCATCATCAGAAACATTTCAACAGACACAGAGTTGGGATTTTCCAGACTTTTATTTTATTGTTTTTACACAAAGTTTAAGATACATTTATCTGTCATTCTTACCTTCACATGCCAAAAGAAAAGGTCAGAGTCTAAATGGGCAAGCTATGAAACCATTCAACTTTACAACAGACAGAAATTCCTAACTTCTGCTTCCTCAGATGATAAAAATTACTGTAAATTAATAGGGCTGAAAGAAATGACACTCAGGAAATAACATATCAGCAACCCTGGGAGGCTTGAGAGCTGGATCCATTTATAGCAGAATGCCTGAAGAGATCATTATATTATCTATGTTGATCTTCTGTATCTCACAGAACATCTGAAACATTTTGTCGCCCAGCCTATAATAAGCCCTGTAATTAGGCTACAGTGTTCTAACACAGAAAAACCCTAAGCTGCTCTATATGCAGCAGACCACCACAAAGGCCAAGTCATATGCAGCAGAGAGGAACTAATTATTGGCAAAATTAGGCTTCATAATCCCACCAAGCAATTTTTACACTGTTGCTGCAGATGAATTCCTCTGCAGCACTCTTGTGACCAATTTTATTTTGAGCGCTTGAACAAAGCCAAGCAACCAAACATTTATGAAAGACAGCTTCCCATACTGCTTCAAGCAGCTACTGCAAAGCATATACAACTGCTTTGAACACTATAAAACATACACAGCTCTGAGACATTTAAATCCAGTTTATTTAGTACCAAACTCAAGATAAACTAAAGCTAGTTTATATTGTATTAGAGTATCCCATATAGAGAATTAGAGAGGAAGACTTCTAATTGAGGTAAGTAATCTTTTAAAGCTCAAAAATAGGAAGCTGATGTTTCAGATCTAAACTGAAAAGAAAAAGGAATTCTGTTTAACTCTTAACAAAAAACAGAAGTGACTATTAGAAAAACTAAACCAAGAAAAGAGAGCTTTACACTTAATCCAGGTTTAGCTTCATTTAAAGGTAAAACCAAATGTCCAAAAGATACAGAACATAATAACAGTAATAGGAAAGACACTGGTGACATTTTAACCCTTAATACTAAATTCTATCAAGACCAGGGGAAAAAAAAATGCAGGGACAAAGTAAGCAGCAGGAATATTTCTTCAGTGCAAACACACAAAGTAATCCTTAGGAAAGCTTTCACAAAACACACAGTACTTGCAGCACAATGTAAGGAACTTGTTTTGTGAACTTAATAACCTCTGCTGTCTCTGTGCATTCTGATGTACTTCTCTGTAAACCCATGTCGGTACCTACTTCCCTGTTTCTGTTTGGGGTCCTTCTGCTTTCCAGCTCACCAGGGCTCCTTCTTTTGGTTGTTTTGGCTGAAGTCCCAGAGAAATAACAATGCCCTTGGGCTGAGTGTCAGAGAGTTCGAGAAGCAACAGGTGCCCAAGGGAATCTTCAGCCTGGGTCTTTAGCACAGCCTCTGATAATGCACGACATTTTCTCCCAAACAGGAACATGGAATTGAGATACAGACAGGCTGAGTGAAAAGCAAGAGTAAACAATCTCTTTGAGACAAGAACTTACTTAATGCTTTTGGTTTTTCCCCCTTTTGCTGCAGGAGTGCCCCTGAACTTTGTTTGATGACATCCTAATGGGATTTGCTTAGCTTTCCACTTATTAGCCTGGGTGCCTCACAGAAGATTTCCTCATCAAACACTGACTTCTGATTTCACTTCCAACATCATAGAAGTAAAAGAATCAACTTTTAAAAGCTTCTGAATCACAATGCACAAAACAAAGCGAAATTAGAGAAAATAGAAATTGTGTTCTTCCCATTTACCTAACACTGAGGGCCAAAGAATGGCAGAGGGGCCCTCACCAAAATCATCATTACTTCTCTACTCTCTTCATGAACTGTGAACCAAGTTCCTCAAGTTTGGTTTTCCTCAGAAATAAAAAAAAAGTTTTGCTCCGAGTTGAATGACGCATTTAGTGGCAAACTAGAAGATTTCTTTAATTTTTCATCTCAGCTAAAAAAACCCTAAGACCTTTTGGTCTCGAATCTAAGGTATAAAAAAACCCAACACAAACAAACAAACAAACAAACAAAACCCCAGCACACATGGATAATGCACTTTTAATTCCTAAATAAAAAATGCTATATTTCTCATAAGTCATGAGCCTTTCCTCAAGTTCTTTTGAAATGCTAAAAACCCTTGCCTAACAGAGATATTTGATTCTCTCTCACCCCAGGAACTCCTTTTCTTCAATCTTCTCTTCCTTCATTCTTCTGTTTCTACCTCCTTGTTAGATTAGCAGAATTTGGCTTTCACTCCCATTCCCTTTTTTACAAGAAGGCTGTTTTTAATAAAAATGAGCCAGTGTCCTATTAATGACAGACCCTTAGGGCATCTCCTTCACTTACAGTCTCAAGATTATTTTTTTTCTTCTACAACTTACCATTTCCCTTTCATAGGCATTCCTCTCATTCATCTTCTGCCTAGTTTCAAAAACTATGTACCTTCCTCAAGTACCTCTTGCATTCCTAATTTTCCACCCTTTCTTACTTTCCCCCTATGCCTTTTTTAAGCTTGTACATTTGGGTTATTTCTTCTTTTCTCTCTATATTCTAGTTCTGGATCATCTAGTAATCACTAAAAAAAATTAAGTATTTAAAAGTATTCTCAAAGCTTTAGAAATTTCACTTTGTTTTCTGCTCATTCTGGAATCTCAGAAGACTTACTTGTTCTGACCATTTTTCATGGCAGTTCCCTCATTCAACCCAATCTGTTGAGCATTTATTGCAATGCACACAATTTACAAATCCCCCAAAAACACATCCATGGATCTAATGGACTGTACCAGGGACTCCACAACCTGAACAGAATGCATAAGGCTACTCCTTGCCTTCCAATAAACAACTGGATTTTCAAAAGAGCTCATGCCATGTCACTACAAACTACAAAGACAAAGATGTTTAAACTCCATCACTCAACACACATCAGCATTTTTCTGTTTGAAGCCACTGATGACAGACACTCCCTTTTGCTCACTGGCGTCTGACTCTTGCTTATACCTTGACATGTTGCAAAATAAAGATTCTGCATTCATTTTAACACTAGTTTCAAGTGTTGGCAGTTTGTACTGGTTTCTTTACAACAGGTTACAGTTGAAACTATATCCATTTTTGGAAAAATGCCAGTTTTGGAAATCTAATTTCTTTTTTTTAAAAAAACTTTCTGATATTTTTGACTGGTCCAAAGGTCATTCATTTGGAAAACAAAATAAAAAAATCAAAAATAAAATTAAAAAAAAAAGCAAACTAATTGTTTTACAGTTTAAAGGAAGATCACTTGCTTTTTACTTAAGTTTGTTGTAGTATACACTTCTAAACCTTAAGAAATTGGATTAATAGTTTTTTATTTACTAATCCTATAAAGAGTCTTAAAAAACCTAAGACTATTTTGCTTGGTTTTATTGGTTTCCTCCTATTTGTCTGCACATTGAACCTTGTTGCAAAATCAATGAGAGGTTTTTTCGAGATGAGTGATTGTTGGGTTTTTCCTTTGTACTTAATGGTGTCTGGATAGCAACAAATCTAAATAAAGCTATGGCTTTAATCATCTGACTCAATTCTGCACAACCACCAACAAGAGGAGAGCAACAACCCTCATTTCAAATTAAATGCACATTAAAATTTGAAAGAGTTGTTTTACCTCCCGTTTCTTCCACAGGAACCTAAATCCTCAAGAACCCATGTGTGTATACACAGATCTTCTAAAAATGCTATCCTTCATAATACTTCTTACAAAATGAAGCCAAAAGGAAACTAAACACAATATGAAATATGGCTTTAGAGGACAAGAAAGAGATGAAAAAAACCTGAAGATAACCAGGGCAGAGCAGGGTTTGTACAACTTGGCTGACTTGGAGAGGAGGCTTTAACAGACCAGAAACAGTCTGCACATAACAACCTGTTTGTCCCAGCCACGAGACACCCCCAAATTTGAAATAAAGCTAACAGCTGTCTCAGCAAGATGCCAGGCCACTGTTACGTTGGGCTGATCTATGAAGTCATTTTCTTAGAATACTTACCACTAAATCCCAGTTATTTTGTTCAAGCAACGTTATAGCTTCATCAATATTTTCAATACCAGTACATGCCTAAAAATAAAAAGAAGAGGTAAACAGAATTAAAAGCATTGATTAAAATCAGGGTATTAATACTTATAATTCAATTAATTTCAGCAGGATGACAGGAAAGGTATAGGTTTTCCCTTTCTGTTACAAAAGGGTAATCCAGAAATCAGACTTTAAGTTTTAAACATCAAGCATTTAGACATAATTCCCTGTTCCACCAGAGGATTCTTGTGTAACCTTGAGCAAATCACCTAGGGAAGCAAGACCAAGTAGTTATTTGTAAAATTAGGACAATAGTGCTGTCCCCATAAAGGTGTTTTGAGAATTCTACCTTCAAAACTATGAAGCACTCATAATACTCTTTAAAAGGGAGCAAAACAAACCTTGAAGTTCTAGCCCTGTACTCTGGCTTTACCTAGTTCAAGAAATCGAACACAATACCATTTTTGAGGTAGTGTTAACCCTCACAAAACCGCATTTTGAACTGCTCTTAATTCCAAACACAAGAGTGCCTCTACTCAGCAAAAACTGAGATGCAGCAACCTGCTGCTTTTCTTGATACCCAGACCTTTTCAACTATTCAACTTCAGCAGGCAGAGCACTGCTATTCATTCTGCCACATATTTGCTATCATTCACATTGAAGCATATCAGATAAATTTTACCAGAAGAGAAAAAAGGAAACAGTTAAGTTTCTCCCTGGAATTTATCTTTCATCCTAACCAAAGCTATGTTCTGTACTCAAACACACAAGAGGAGTTCAGACTTTTACAAGATCTGAAACATGATTGTGTTCCTCCTGCTCTACCACACAGTTATATAAAAGTGTGGTATATAAAACTGCATAAAAAAAAATAAAAAACCAAACCTTTTAACAGTAATAATACAGAGCTAGATAGCAACAGCAAACAGATCAGTCTTCCTGATTCCCTTTATGTCATAAGAGAACAAGGAGGCTAAGCAGACACTTTTTCCCTTCCAAGACATAAAAAGCCATCAGGTCACGTATTTCCCATGTTCCGACTTTTCTCCCGATTTATAACCATGAAAACATAAAAAGAAGAAATCACAGAGAAATTCAAGGCAAATTCTCTCCTCCTAAATTCAACCCTGAAAAATTCCACACTTACAAAGCACTACATGCAGCATGTCAACACAAAATGGAGCAGTCTGAGGGACCACAAGATGAAATTATGGAGAATTTTGCCTGCAGAGGGAAAGCAGTTTCTACTGCTACACAGTGCTCTCATGACCACACTGATCCTCTCAAACAACAAGACAAAATTTCTTCCACTTCAAAGCATGCTGTGTTAATGCTGAATTTCACCCACTTCACATTGGGAGTGCTAAAAAAATACCACTTTGCTCTTCAGACGCATCATTTTTCCTTCTTTTCCACTACTTCTTGCAGTTATTTCTGAAGTTAAAAACGGGACAACACTTCGACAAAATCCCCAGCAAATGCTTATACATTTACATACACTCGTGCCAGGTAGGTTTGAAGAGTACAGGGCTTGAGTTTGTCATTCCTGAAATCACAGGATGGTTCGTACTACCATCAACCTGCCACTGGAACTGATGTCAACAGATCTGCTGCAAAAATCCTGCTTTGAGAGAAAGCTCTGCAGAAGTGACAGTCTGAGATTCTGTTCACATTCGAGTGAAATACACTTAATCTGGTCATTACAGAAATAGTTAATATTTCTCATTTGTCAACCCTGCAAAATCTGCATGATCTTTTCAAGAACTAGCTTGTGTTCCACCCTACAGTAAGAACTTGACCAACAATGTGTTGTTTGCACCGCTGGGCTGTGCAGATGAAGTTGAGGAGATGGTACCTACAATTCAGGATTTAATACTGGCTTTAGTTGTCTCCTCTTTTTATCATTCCTGCAGCTCTGCTCACTTGCCACTTGTCCTGTCTTAGCCCATACTAACTGCAGATCAATTCAGTTCACTTTGGCATACTCTCATTTTGAGATAAAGTGAACAAAAGTAGCTTATCCTTCCGCCAGAGCACACAGTGGAAGGAGTTAACTCATCACAGTGAGGGCAGAGTAATTAAACAACTAATTCACCTGTGTGTCTGCATCCTTCCTGAATTATCTTTCTGGTGATTTACAATGTAAAACAGAAGCCTGCTCTTGGTCACTTAGCAATGCAGAGTCACTGGGTAACAAGAACTGACAGGTGTAAATACCAGCTGCAAATAAAAATCATCAGCATTCAGAGTAGCCAAGACAAGCAGTTTTGGTTAAAATATTTGCACCATTTTTACAGTCCTTTTTAATATTTCATTTTGAGGAGTTCTTAAACTAAGATTTCCCTTTCCAGATGGACCATTTTTGCTAGTTGTCAATAAAGCAGAAAACAAACATTTCAGAATTGCAACAGGAAAAAGTGAGTGCTACTTATCAATGTAACTATAAAGCAGACATTCCCAGATCTTCCTCAACACAATGTTAACGTCAGAGTTGCAGCAAATTAAGATTATTTAGAATCTTATTACATTTCACAATTTCAACATTCAAACACTACACACTATAACACACAAACCCTTGTATCAAGTCAGAAGCCATCAGTGAGACCAAAAACCCCCAGCAACCAAAAATTAAAGCTGCTTCCTCGTAGCTGCATCATGTCATGCAAGCTAAATTACAGAAAATCATCTGCTTTGCATGTCTTTGATTTTCCCTATGAAATTAAGCACACAAGACAGGCAGTCCCTCACTGGCAAGCATGACGTGATGTCAAGGGCTCTGTAGTGACAGCTGAGTCCCAGAACAACCTGGTCTGCTCCTGCCTTTGTTTTTTTTAGGGAAACACATATAGGAATCCAGCAGGTTCTGTGAGCAACAGAATTAGCAAAGTCTGGTTCCTCGTGGGTTTGTGTCTCATCCCTAATTGCAAGGGCTGATTTAAGCTTTTCCTGTGGCTGGAATATTTATAAGAGCTTTTTTTAATGGACTACTTCCCATATTACCTCGCTATATTTTCATTACATTTGGAATGGTTTCACTGGTACATGCCCAAGGGACACCTGGCACCTTAGACCTCTATGCCTCACTTATCTAGAAAGGCAGACTAGAATTTGCAGGGTTTAATTATTTACAGTACATAAAGATTTTCTTCCTCGTGTTTATTCCTTTTATTCTACCCAAGCAAAAGAGAAACAAACAAAAATTTAATAGGAAAAAGAAAGTTAAATTTGTTCAGAAACAGAAGTGAAAAAAAAACTTCAAAATGTAGCACAGCAGATGAGCTCTAAAGATGCAAAAATACATCTTTGTTACTGAGGAAGTAAAGTGAGGGGCTGAGGAGACTTTTTTTATTATTCACGGATTTTTATTCAGCTTTATTTTCATGAGACACCTGCTTAACAGAAGGCATTAAATATTTTAAAAGAAAATTCCTACCTGAATACTACTAAATCTTGTTTCAGTGAACAACCAGCACAAACTCTAAGTCATCAAAAGATGAAAGAAACAAACCACCACAGAAAAGGTAAAACCTTGAAGGCTCACTGATTTGTGAGCCTTTACACATCAGAAAGGAACCAAAGAATTTTTTTTTGGAAGACAAAGGAAAAGAAAAGGTAGAACAAGTTCCTCCTCCTCTCTGCATCTCCTGTAAATCTAGGGTATCATTTTCAGCCTTCACAGCAGCTCCAGAGACTCTGCAGCCACTTCTGTGCTTTTCCAGACCACACAAGAGGAAAACAAACATGAAGATGAGAAAACTATTGTGTGCTGAATACATAATCAGATTCTGAAGATAAAGTTACTGAATGTTAGAACAACTTTCTTAGCATTCTGTTTTTTTCAGGGTAGTAAGTGTTTCCACCAGGCAGATTGAATTTTCCATATAATAAAATTTCAGAGTGTTCACATTTTTTTTCCAGGTAGCTTCATATCCCCCCAGTGATGGAGATCTTACCCTTGGAATGTTTCACAGGTAACCATTAGGGGTCCTATCCTTGCACAGTAACATTAACCTTAATAAAAGAAACAACGTAGTTATTGAGGAATCAATTCAATGGGAAAGAAGTTGTGAGGCAGACAGGCTCCAAGGCATTTGAGACAAACCTAGGAGCTGCTTCCAGAAAGCCGTAATGCAGGATGACAGACCGGCTCTTCTAAATCCCCTGCAGGGTGGTCTGTTTCCAGCAGCTGTAACAGCTGGATCTGGATCTTGAGACCCTCTGTGACACCCCAGGAGCACAGGCTCCAGCCCACCTCCACAGCCCAGGGAAGCAGCTGCCTTCCCCATCTGGCAGCAGCTGCGGCCCCAGCACCTGCTGCAGGGATCCAGGCAGTTGTTCCATGGCAGAGCTGGAAGGGCCAACTGCTGCTGGCAGCACAGAGCAGGGCTGTTCCTGCAGCACAGGCTGCGAGAGCAGCACGCAGCTGCTGACACTCGCACAGCCAGGCCACTGCTGCAGCTGCTGCACAGGAGCCCGCAGCAAATGCCATTTGGCAGCAAGGCAGGATGTCCCTCACCTATGGCACCACTCCCCTTCTGGCCAAGGCAAAATGAGGCAGGCAAAGTATCCAAAAGGCCACATTTGGCCTAACAGCAGTAGCTGGATATGGAGGACTAAGTCTCAACATTCCTTTTGAACAATTCCATATTTCCTTTGGCTACTAACAGCAGCTGTATTTTCTCCAAAAAGGGGCCATCTCTAAGCTAAACCTAACTAGGCCTAGAACATTTTGTACAACAGGTTCAGGACCATTAAAAGACAGACAGTTGTGAATTACACTGGGTACCACTCATTCCTGTAACAGTCTGACAAAAAAAAAAAAAATCTGTAGTTCAGTCCATCATTTCAATGTTTATCCAAAGCTACAACACCCAAAGAAACAACTGCATGAAGGCACCAAAAGATTCAACAGGATTACCTAGGAAGAAAAGCTTTCACCCTCTGGGATCTTCCACAATAGCTCAGGAAGTCAGCATTAACACACCTGCAAGTGCACAGACAGCATCCTAGGAAAAGCTTACTTTTGAAAGCACCAAATAAAT